TTATTGATTCAGATTATTCGGATCTACTATTTCAATATCATTGGGATTGTCTATTTCCATTTGAGCATCCATTATGGTACGTAAAAGTCGAAGCGATGGATAATGAACGTTTCCGTGGTGTTTTGCGTATCCAAGGTACCAGATAACAGCAGCTACGTGACCACAGGTACCCAAAGTTCGAGCTCCTGCTTTGCAAGTACAATAATATCCGTCTATATCGTTATTTTCTTCTTCAGCGCCGTATTCTGGATTAAAAGCAATCCATAATTAATGTTTAGTAGCATTTCTGAAACGGGAAAGAAACCTGACTCTTATAAATCCTATTTCGTTCGTATTTAAGTCGATTTGGAAAGTCATGTCTTCTTGTTCACCGTCTTCCTGATCGGCTCTTAAAGAACTGTCTTGTATATAAGAAGGTGCTAAGTTAACTTGATATGTTCCATATGTCAGAGAATGTAAATCATCTACAGTTAATTCGGGAAATAACGGAACATGCTCTGGAGTAAGCAGAACCCAGCGCGCTCTTCTTTGTCTTAGATTTTCAGCCTCTACTCTAGCCTGTACTACATTTTCTTCTTCTGCTCGATGAAGCATTTGGTTGGCTAAATCTACGTCTGCGTTTGGCATTGTTATAGGCCCATAGTACTTATTTATAATTGCACCAGCAATGCAAAGAAAGTCAGACAAGTTTGCAGCATGAGACGTTGGTACAGTATTTGAAAATATTTTAAAAATACTTTTCAAGTGATCATTTCGTGCTTCAACAATCCACCTGGTTTTAGTAATTAAACGTGAAGCATTTGCTTCTTCAGTTCGAAACTGATTTTTGTTGCGATCTATCAATGGTGGCATCTTCGTAATGAGACCTATTTCTTGTAAATTGGTTTGCAAAAGGTGTGACATGTCTTTCTATGTATTCGTTCCTGGTAATAGCTTCAAATCCAATATTTTCGAGACAAAATCTATTTGATAATGATTGTCTGACTGTACTTATTGCCATGCTTGTAGCCTGCCTCGAAGTATAACGAAACATTACACATAAAAATTCGTCACTAAGACCTTGAGTTAACTTGCATAAAAAACAGAGAAGACCCTTTTTGCTAATATACCTGTATCCTCCTGGTATAAGTACTGGATCACAATAAGAAAATAGATCATTAAAATCAACTTTAGTTATAGAATAAAGCGTGCGAAACTCTTCGTCAGATACGTCGTGCTCATCTGCGTACCTGCGACGATCACCTTGTTCTATTTCTCCACACATACCTTCTAAAAATAATTGCAACTCTTGACTATTTATAATGTATGGCCTATTGATATATCTCAATTCGTCTATCTAAGCTTCTGTCAAAAATTCTCTATCATTCAAATGATTTCTACAACACACATATTTTCTGGGAAAATATATCTTTCTCTTTACGAAAATATGTATCCTACATTCTAATGTCAGTCTGTGGATATCATTATGACCATTACATATAAGGCACGATTGAGAAGAAGTCTGATAAAACATTTAATCTCAAGCATTGAGGATCATTGGCCATAATCTCTATTTCTTGACGCATTGTTACTATACAATTATTACACACGCGAGTATTGGGAGTTATCTCAGCTGGTGGTATACCATTTTCATCGCGTCTTGCAATTGCGATTTCACGTAGAAGAGAATTGTTATCACCACCAATAAATGCAGTAATACGTGGTATCTGACGATTACCACAGACATAACACCGTATTAATGCGCGGAAAGCCATTATTTAGGTGCTTTGATAGGAACTCTCAGAAATAAAACCAAATATCAAAGATTCAACAGGATTTTAAAAAGCTGTACAAAAACAATCACCGCCGTGCAGAGAGTATCTCCAACTATCCTGAAAAGGACTGTCGAAGAGGGAATCACCACCGTGCAGAGAGTATCTCCATCTATCCTGAAAAGGGCTGTCGAAGAGAAAATCACCGCCGTGCAGAGAGTATCTCCAACTATCCTGAAAAGCACTGTCGAAGAGAAAATCACCGCAGTACAGTGAAGATCTCCAACTATCCTGAAAAGGACTGTCGAAGAGAAAATCACCGCCGTGCAGAGAGTATCTCCAACTATCCTGAAAAGGACTGTCGAAGAGAAAATCACCGCAGTACAGTGTAGGTCTCCAACTGCCCTGAACAGGGCTACACATATATATCGTATATATATGATGTTGATAACCCAATAATACACGTATGCGGTTGCCTGGCCGTCGATATGATTTTTTGAGAGATATATGTATGTATATATACATGTCTATATATATGCATACATATATTAATAATTCTTTATTTGTTTGCTGTGTTATTTGTATGGGTGCGCGTATCAACATATGCATACTAAAAGTTGATCACGCAGACGTTACCGGTAATTCAGAAATCCATCATTTGGCCTATATTTGAGGCATCATATCTCGAAACCTAGTCATAGCCGGTCGATGCGCCCATGGAGACTTTTGATCTACATAATGTTGGCTACCTAATCCCAAATTTTGAACCATTTCGACAGAAAGTCCTTTTCCGTAAGGTTTGTGAGGGGTCCTTTATTATTTTCTTCATTTATGCACAGGGATGATCGGGCAAGGGTAAGATTAATTTTAATAACTCAAAAACTGAAATAACTTAATAACCCAATAAACCAACTCCAATAACCAAATAACCAAGTGATTTTTTTAATAAGAACTTTCATTTTTTATCATGGATTCGGAAAGAGCGAGAAATTTTAGGTTCAGGAAACATATTATGTGTGGGTCGTAGTCACCCCCCCCCCTCCTATCCCACCGGGGCAATAATAATAATAATAATAATAATAATAATAATAATAATAATAATAATGATAATAATAACCCAATACCCAAGATAAATAGAAGTTCGATTATCAAGGTCGTTTTTGATTAAATCATTACGTCTGTTCGTGCCACATTTAGTAACGTGAACCAATCTAACCAATGTATGCAAAGACGGAGTGTCCAGTCTATCTAGGCAAGGTGAGAATGCTGAGCCGATTAAGACAAGACGTTGGCTACCCAGCCAATGAAGGTAAGGTATTAATTACCCAGCCAATGAAGACAAGACGATGACTACAGATAGAGTTAAGGCCAAGGTTGTAACACAAACATTTATCTCATAAAATGTTAAAACTACCGCCGTTCAAATTTATGCAGTGTTGAATTCGAAAAAATCAGAGAAAAACGTCCTCACTTGAACATAAAAATACCTCTTTTCAAGACAATGGTCGAGTTCACACGTGTGCAGTTTTGATGGCAAAAATTAACGATTTAAAGTTCGAATTGACCATCCACCATATTCGCCTGATTTGACTCCTAGTGACATTTTCTTATTTCCTAACCTCAAAAAATGGCTTGCCGGACAACGATTCATGTCGAATGAAGAAGTCATCGCCGAAACAAATGCCTATTTTGAGGGTTTTCAGAAATCATATTTTTCTGATGGCTTAAAAAATCTGGAAGGCCGTTTAATAAAATGTATCGACCTTCAAGGAGATTATGTTGAAAAATAAAAACAAAATTACATACGCAAAACTTTTTTTTCCCTTCTTTTTGTAAAGACTTATTGACCCCCCCCCCCGTACGAGGCTCCATCTATGCTGATTATCAATATGACGTACCTAATGAGGGTTTTGGATAGACCAATAATGACTATTATGGCGATTGAGTTGTCCATTACTATGAAATGTAGCTTCGTACGAAAATATTACGTATCTGAAAAATTCAGGATCTTCACGAATCCTTGCTTGTGCCCAATTATAGTATTTGAGTCTGTGGCGGAGATCATCTGGCATCAAAGCTTGAGTAAAAGTTATGTGATACGGATAAAATCTATGAAGCCGCAAAATTCTACCAGCTATAGTTCTTGGGATTCCAGAACGTTTCTGAATTTCACGCAAAAAGATATGATGATCCTAATCAACCGTTGCCAAAACAACGAGAATTCGTGGATCATCGTTGTTCTGTCTCATAATGCGACGATGATTTCTGCGTATTCGTGGTCGACGTCTCTCTCTTCGTTCAATGATTCGGATTCTCACGTGGTTTGGGTACCGAAGTCTCCCTGGGTAATTTTGACGGTCAAGGCCGATATCGTGCTGCAGCAAGATATTACCGTCCAGTCATTTAGTTGGGGAGACAAAATATTATCAGCAAGTTATTGGGTTATTACAATTAATCTTACCCTTGTCCGATCATCCCTGCGCATAAATGAAGAAAATAATCAATTTGACCCCTACATGACTTTACGCTAGGGGGGGGGGGGTGGTTAACCGCATCCGACACATAATACCTTATCTGAACGTAGAATTTCTCGCTCTTTCCGAATCCGGGATCAAAATTATAGATTTCTATTCAAAAAATGACTTTGACCTTCAATTGCCCTTGAAAATAAATCTCAAAGTCAAATCCGAATTCTGGGAAAGGTGTCCCTCATTGTCCCAAACAACTTTTGTCTGAATAAGTTTTTTGTAGAACGCCAACCGTAGAAAATTTCGGGGTGGTTCCTTTAAAATGGGACACCCTGTACTATGTGTTTATGTATATAATATTTTTCATAAAGATTTGAAGAAGTTGAAAATTTCATCATAAAACTTCATCGAAAATTTCGGACTGTTATTTCTGTGGGTTTACTTTCAGAAATTGTACAAATTGAATTTATTTATTGAATAAAAATTAAATTATTTTATCGATTGCGGACTTAAATTTTGGACAATTTTCCTATGTATTTTAGAATAATAAGAAACTTATTAACTTTTGTTAAATAATGATTGACAATTGAATATTTATTTAACAACTATAGTGGCTAATGTTTTTGAAGTTACATCATTCATTGTGTTTATTCGAATCTTATAGGTTCATATCATTTGTTTGCGAAAATTCGATTACATTAATAAATTAATGCAAGAAACAAAAAGAGCTAGATAATGATAGTTTATACAAAATTAAATACTATAAATTTTTACTTTCTAGCTACAACAGGAGGAAGCATGTTCAAAATTCAAATTGGAAATAGATTACAAGTTGATCCCGAAGAAATTAATGTAACATTTAATGATGTTAAAGGAGTAAGTTATAAATCCCTAAATTATAGTTTTATAATTTTAAAAATAAAAACAAACAATTTATGCGCAGGTTGAAGAGGCTAAATCTGAATTGATGGATGTAGTTGAATTTTTAAAAAATCCTGATAAATTCTCAGCTCTTGGCGGAAAACTTCCAAAAGGAGTATTGCTTGTAGGTCCACCTGGAACCGGTAAAACATTATTAGCAAGAGCGGTAGCTGGTGAGGCTGGTGTACCTTTTTTTCATGCTGCAGGACCAGAATTTGACGAGGTACTAGTTGGACAAGGCGCTAGAAGAGTTCGAGATTTATTCAGTTAGTTACTTCATTGTTAATTTATTACTTATTTTCATGCAGATAATTGAATAATCAATTTTTTAGGAGCTGCTAAAGAACGTGCTCCTTGTGTAATATTTATTGATGAAATTGACTCAGTTGGCGCTAAACGTACTAACTCTGCTCTTCATCCATATGCAAATCAAACGATAAATCAACTTCTTTCAGAAATGGATGGGTACTTATAATTTAGTTCATTACTTTTAAATATAGACAATATTATGTGTAATACGATTGTTGAAATAACCTTTACCATTTCATATAGGTTTCATCAAAATGAAGGTGTAATTGTTTTAGGAGCTACAAATAGACGCCAAGATCTTGATAAAGCACTGCTAAGACCTGGTCGTTTCGATACAGAAATAGTGGTCAATAAACCGGATTTTTTAGGACGTAAAGAAATTTTAAATTTATATTTGAACAGGATTTTAACTCATGATGTTAATGCAGATATTTTAGCAAAACGTACTATTGGATTTACGGGTGCAGATATTGAGAATATGGTAATATATGCCTGAAGTTTAACTGAATATTTTTAAGTGTACTACAGAAAACAATTTTATTTATTATTTCATTATTTAATTTACCATTCAAAGATTAATCAAGCAGCATTGCGAGCTGCAATAGAAGGGGCTGAATATGTTACGATGCATCACTTGGAGCGCGCAAGAGATAAAGTAATAATGGGTCCCGAAGGCAAAAGAAAAGTAATAAATGAGGAAGATAATCATATCACAGCTTATCATGAAGCTGGACATGCCTTAGTTTCTTATTATACAAAAGATGCAGTTCCTTTACATAAGGTGACAATTATACCTCGAGGACAATCTCTTGGACATGTAAGCATACAATTTATTAACGATAATCAAATAATTTTATATACAAATTTTTAAATCGTATTTTTAAATTAACCAACTCCTTTTGAGTATGTTAGTAAAGTTCTTGCCGAAGAATTTAAGTAAAAACTACGTAAAAAATTGCTTAAGAAAGTAATTAGTGGGTGTGTCATGAATATATTTTTAGGTAAGAAATTACGACAGTTATATCTCAAACTTACTTTATACAACATATAAAACATAATTATTTAGTAAACTATTATTTCTTGTAAAATTCAAATTCTAATTGAGATCAAATGAATCAATTTAAACTCTAAATTCGAATTCCTATATCAAGAGCCAACTTTTCATAAAATCAAATGAAATGAAATCAACATTTTTACATAGTCCTGTTGTAAATGTTTCGCTAGATATATTCTTTGTTTCTTCAGTACTTTCTCATCAGTTAAATATTATTAGAAAAACATCATCATAGAAACATTATAATTTTTTGTAATTTTTACAACAATTAATATCAAAAGAAATCTAATTGGCTTCTTTTTATAATTGTTGTTCAATACTAGGGATATAAGTTAATACTTATGGTTCTGCGTTTACATTTCACATTTCAAATGTGCACTTTGTTGATTCATGACATAAAATGGAATAGCGTCAGACAAAAAAAATGAAAATTATTTTAAAAAAGACTTGAATTTATGCTTACCATAGATCAGTAATAAAATAAGCCTATGCAGAGGTTTATTTGTAGATCGTCGTACATGCAGATGCACAAAAATGGCCCTTTAATCGAACCTTGAGATACTGCTGCCATTAAATCGATTATTATTTCCCCTTTTTCAGGAATTATAACCAGCTTTCTATTCTTCAGATAGCTGTTAGTATCCATAGTAGATACTGTGGCATCTTTTTCTCTTTGCTGAGGGATTGATAGATGCGTTTCCAGATAACCGAGTTAAATGTATTCTTGGCTTAGCATTGAAATCGCCGGCTAAATAAGTAGGCCATTCCAGGTGTCGATAAATTGTTCTAGTATCGCCAGGTCTAGTTCCACTACTGCTTTATTAACGTTTGGATATAAATAACCACTACATATAGCCAGTGTTCCTATAGCAATTGCCACGTAACCACTGCCTGATGCCAGTTCTCTTGCGTTATAATATGATAATGTCCGTTATTTACGACATATATTACCACGTCTCCTCTTCTATCTCGAAATCACATAGCATCTGGTAGATCCCGGTTTTGTTCCGAGATAATAATACTGGGCCAACAAAGAAAATGACCTAGAAGTGTGATATCACTTATCTGAAGTACTTTGACGCTCTCAATTTTAATTCAACCTCAAAATTGAGCTATCATCTAAGTTTTCCGAGATATCCTGACTTAATAACACGGTTTTTCGCCATCTGTAGAGTCTATAACTTCGGGGAAAATTATTTATCCAACAACAAATTTAAAAAACTACCTTAAAGAGCTACTTTCTAGCTTTAAAGAAACATGATTATTTTTATGATTCGGACCTGTTTAAGAGAGATACCGTTCATTGAAATTTGAAAAATTTGAGATTTGATAGTGATCCTAATAATGGAAAAAAGTATATAAAAAGTATTTATTTATTGCACAGTACTTATTTGTCGTTCAAATTCCAGAAAGGTTAACCGAAGAAGGGAAACCAAATACAAAAGGTAAACCTGCGAGTCTTCATATCGAGTATACATCGAGTAACCGTAAATCTCTATACATCGATTAACCGTATATCTACCTTTATCTTCTTGTGAGTATCCTCTCTTCTCTGCTAAATAATGGTTTCAAAGATCGTGATTTGTGTTCTATCGATAGGCCGTTTCTCTGTAAAGACCAGCAATAGTCAGCCATCATATTCTCGTTTTTTTACCTTGATAATGTATTTCTTTTTGTTTGAAGTCCTGATGGAAACATTGAATGCTCCAACGTTTTCAAGGAAGAAGTTCAAATGAGAAAATAGGAAATGACATTTCAAACTCATAAGATACCTTAATGCTTTAAAATTTTTCAACATTATAGACATAATTGCTTTATAATTTCGATCTCTAGGATTCCCCAAAAAGTTCTCTACAACGGTTTGGAAACTTGTCCAAGCTTTTTTTTTCAACAGTTGTCATCGTTTTTTCGAAGTCATCATCCTTCACCAATTTTCCAATATCAGGTCCTACAAATGCCCTCTTTTATTTTGGCATCAGATAACTTAGGAAATTGAGACTGCAAATTTTTGTAACATTCGCTTTCTTGTTTCAATGCTTTCTTCGTGAATTACTTCATCAAGCCTAGCTTGATATACAGAGGGGCCAATAAAATCTGGTTGGTACTGATAAGGCTTTCATAAATAACGTTATTCATAGACTATACTATAATCAGAGAAAATATGAATTTTTTGTACTGACGGATTGTAAGCCTACCAAGATATTTATCATTTTAACCCCTTCAGCGGCAAAACTTTTCTGACTTTTCGTACTAAAACTGGCAGCCCTAATTCATACTTCTAGATGTATATAAATATGATTTCTAGGGATTTTCAGACCCGCTGAATCCATTCCCATAGTTATTTTTAACCAATAACTTACCTAAAAGATTTAAAATAGGAGTTGGAGGAGGTAAATTTTGATTGTTTTTTTCTTGAATTTTAAGCTTTTTACGGCCAGTTATTAGTTTTTTTCGTCATATCGACATTGGTTGGGATTGAAAATAAGGGTTAACAGAAGGAGTAAAAAAAATTTTTTTTTATAAAATAAAAATTTATTTTGTCTTTTTTTTTCTTGTAAAGTATATTATAATGTACTATTTATATCTGTTGCTCATGCTTCAGTATTTCACAAAAAATATATTTTTATTTGTAGAAGAATGATTAGGAAAAACCGACTTATGATCACAAAAACAATTTCCTCACTTCAAATTCTACTTTTCTTTCGTTGATTTTGTGGCTAAATGTCATGATGGAAATAGGATCAGTGCACTTAAAAACCATTATAAACATTAGTTCGTTATAACTACATGCATAATTATGTATAATATCGGCGGATACCAGATTTAGTGAAAAATGTTGAGAAAGTTTCCTCTCTTGAGGGTTTCAAAGATGCCGTTTTGAGAGCGCCATATTGAAATTATGCAATTATAATGTCAGATTTGGATTTAGCAACCTCAAAAATAGTTGTATACCGAATTCGGTCCATATTTTATACAAATTTTGAAAGTTATTCAAATATGTACGAGTACATATATAGTATGATCCATTGTCAGTTAACCCTTAAACACCCAAAACGCCACTACCAGTACACTGCTCTTCGACGGCCAATAACTAATACTATTCGTAACTAGAAAAAATTGAGATACATCCATTTTTATTGCTACAGATCTCCTCTATCCGATAGTGTGAATAAAATTTCCCCCAAAAATGATTATTTATTGCAAAATGCAGTTTAAACAAAAAAAAAAACGTGATTTTTCGTGCGTATTTTTTTTGTGATCGCTTTTTGAAAGGTTTCCCAGTCTGCAGTATACCTGGGACCTCACTAACCGGTGGAGTAAATGTCTAAACTTTAAGAATCCATGATTCAAAAATCGAATTTTCGTTTTCCTATTTCCAAAATGGCCTCTTAACGGCAATTTTTTTTTCAAAATATTCATAAATTTCTTTGCTAAATTAGGTGTACTTTTCGAAAAAACTCTCAAGAGTAAAAAGTTCTTAGAATCAACTGAAAAATACGTCTGAATTTTTTCAAAGAATTTATAGCAAATTTTTTAATTTTGCATATAACTAATTTTTGCAAAATTCAAAAAATTGCACGAAACGCTCCGGAAAAATTCAGGCGTATTTCTTGACTGATTCTAAGAAATTTTTACTCTTGAGTGTTTTTTCGAAAAGTGCACCCAATTTAGCAAAAAATTCCCGCGGTTTCTGGTATCATCTAAAGGTGTTGAAGATGATTGATGTGCATATGTATATCTATCGTCTGTCTGCCGCAAACAGAGTTTACGTTGCCCAACTATCACTAATGTGGAGGTCGACGAATCTCGATAGTTTCTTTTTTTTCTTTTTTTTTTATTATTTTTATATTTTTTTAATTTTTTTTTAATATTTTTTTTAGAGATTTTTGAAAATTTCAAGTATTCGTCAATTGAAATCAATTTGATCCTGCTGTTTCAGAGTGTGATTGAGAGAAACAACGCAAGCAATAATACATATCGCAATCAATGCAAAATCTTGTAGTCCTTTGACGACATTTTTAAAAATTACATAATAATCTTGTTCTTGACGCGAATCTATGAGTTTTAAAATCGCCTAATTTCGATTGCAACAAATATTTCCTGCTAATGTCTCTACAAAAATCTTTTGTTTTCAATTTATTTTTAGTACTCTTATTGCAAATTTTCCAAATTACTGTAGCATTTGTGATTGATGATTCTATTATTCTTGAAAAAATTTTAAAAGTCTATTTCTTCGAACTGATAGATGGAGAAGCTTTTTTACAACGGAAATCGTATAAATCTACCCCTTCCATGTATTTGTTGTACAAAGAAAAAGCATGAGGAAATCCTAGTTCTACTCTCTCTTGAGCAGTTCGTGAAAATCTTTTCACGGGTGTTATGGGAGTGACACCAACAGTTGTGGAAAGAATAGAGACTTGTTTTGAGTCTATGACAGTGATCAAATTCATACCACTGTTGCTATCATGACTTACTTTGTACGATCCTCGCGGATCTTTTTTTTCAAATTCATGTTTTTCTTTCACTCTATCCTTACGAACAGTTCCTGTTGATCGTAAACCATATTTATTCAGATGAATGAGTAAGTTTGGGCTGGTAAAAAAATTATCAAAGTAGATATGATAATCAGATAACTTTCTTATTGACAGGCCATTCAGAAGGGGATTGATCATTTGCACGACAACTCTCGAGCCAAGTGCACATGCCATTAACTTTATTCCAATACTTGTATCATTTTTGCCACAATAAACATCTACATTGAA